GGGCTTGGGCTCACTTTGTAGCACAGGCTGGTCTCGAACTCCCAACAATCCTCCTGCCTCGGCCTCCTGAGTGCTGAGATTACAGGCAAGCACCACCACGCCCAGCTCATGACTGTATTCCTATACTGCTGGCCACTTCAAATATTTTTCAGGTGTTTCGGTTGGTTGGCCTTTTTGCTCTTACAAATCAAGCTGCAGGTAGCACCTTTGCATATGTAGCCCTCAGCAGTTCCTTGAATGTTTACGGAGGATGCAAGTGGAAGTGCTGATGGTCACACGGTGCAGTGCAGCTTCTGACAGGAACCTACCCTGCACCTGCAGTGCTCTTCTGCTTTATAGGGAGCAGGGAGCCCCCCGTGCTCACAGGCGAGGCTGGTAAAAGGTAACTGAATCAGAGCTAGATGTGCTGTAGGAAAGGGGCCTGGCCAGAGGGGCAGGTCACAGGAGCTGTTGTTTCCTGTCTAAAATTGATACCATTTTAAAGAAGACTTTGAGCTGGCCAAATAGCTCAGCGGATTAAAGCGTCTGCTTAGGGAAACACCGGGGCTATGTGTTCGATCTCTGGGTCTGCTGTGCTGGCTCTACCCTGGGGGTGCGCTGAGACAGGGATTGAGACTGGGCGTGGTGGTACGCACCTGTAATCCCAGCAATTGGGAAGCTATAAACAGGAGGATCACTACGAGTCCAGTCTATGCAGTGAGACCCTGTAGACCCTGCCCTAAAATACAAACACAATAAAAATAAATAAAGACTTTATCTTGATAAATTGTTAAAAGAACAAATTCAGCATGCTAGCCATTTGGAAAGTTAACCAAATGGCCCATGTGGAATTAACCAGGAGTCTTACCTATACATGTGCAATGCACTGAGCCAATGGCAGAACCCAGAATTAAGCCTAAATCTTTTTTCCTCCCTTGGGACTGGAGCTTGGACCTGGGGTCTACTGCTAGGCATGCCTTTCCCTAAGGCCAATGTCTAATGAGCATTTTTGCAGCTACTTCACACTGCATAAACTAGAGCCATGAGGATGAGGAGCGAGGTCAGTGAAAATGTATTCCTAAAGTTTCACTTGCTGAAGACTGATACTCCTCCTCAGACACATGGACAGCAATATAGATGTAGAGAAGCATATAGGTACATATAAAAATTAATGACATTCC